TGAAAACAGTAGCATTATCAATATGTTGGACACAAACTGAAATAACTGGTAACAGCAACCAAACAAAGCAATCTGATCTGGTAAAGCTGGCAGCAACTTTTTTCACTGCAATATTTTTAAAAATACTTTCACCACTTTCAGGAAAGGGTGGGTTCAAGTAGGGGTTTCCTGAGGCATTCAGAACACGATTTTAACGTAGCAGTGTGTTAAAAGAGGCCCCCAGAGAGTTTTGTTTTGGAACACACTGACGCCTACACATTATTATCTTTGCTACGTTTTGCAGTGTTGTGTGAAAATTATTTTTAATCTTTAGCAAAACATGCCTGTGTTTATCTAATATGTAGAAAAAGCTAAATAATTTAAAACAAAATCACTTTTCAAATAACTACATCTACAATCAGCCCTGAAACATAAAAGTCTAGCACAGATTAACAAGAAAGGGTTGGTTAGAGATCAAAGAACAAGTGTTTATTTTATTTCATGAATGCTAATAAAGACTTTCACTTTTTTAATTTATTTTTTTTAGAAAAAGAACAAAACACAAAGAAAATTACTATGCAAATACATAGTCTTGAAGAAAATAATGCATAAAAAAGAAACAAAGTATAATATACTGTTATAACATCTATCAGTTCCAATTCTATATATACTTATATAATGTAAATATTATTTAAGTATGTATATTTATTTCTAATACATTTATTAAGACATTCACTTAAACAAGCTCATGAATCACTCTTGACAAAGTTCTCTTAGGTAGTAAAAATTTTCCTGAACAGAATTATTTTTCTATAGAAATTAATATACATAGAACAGGTTGTTTACTGACATTGCAAAATTAGGTTAATACTTTCATTACCCCTTGTACTATTAAAGTTGCATTATAACATCTTTTTGAAGTTTTCCCCCCCTCAATTCTGTCTATTCCAAGGCTGAAAACTTAAAGCTACTTGATCATATATTGGTCAACACAATATAAATCACCAAATCGAATTATACACTTATTGAAATCAATGTCCATACTTGAATTTGTATATTTTCATGCAGAGAAGCATAACCTACTTGCTTAAAACAAGTCATAAATTTTGAAAGTTACCAGTCTTTATAATTAACTATGTACCTTGACAAATATCAATCCTGGAGAATTTTCCCTGGCTGACATTATTGTTCTTATGAACATAAGGATTAAAATAAATAAAAGTTAAAAGACACCGAGAATATCTATTTTTATTACAGGTAACTATTGTAAACATTTCAAAAATATATAGATTTTACTCACATGAGCCAATCCTTGATTTAGGACTACAGTGAAGCCTGTCCATTATAGTTGCAAGATGTGATAGCTGTTAAACAAGGCACCTATGATTGCTTCGCTTTAGAACCCCTATCCCTGTTTTCCCCAATGCAATTGTTAAGTGGGAGACCTGGGGCAGTCCACACTCCACTTGTTGCCCTTTAGGGTCCCTATAGACCTTGGGGTCTGCTTCCCACCCCGTTAGGTCCCTTGCCCTCCTCCCCACCTCCTGTCATTGATTGCACACTTATCTTCTGTAAATCTCTGAAGCTCTAGAGCTCATGTTGCAGGTCACTCCCAATCTTGGCACACCTGCAAGCCATTCCAGAAGTTGGCACCATTTTTGGAGCATCCACAATTCATTGCAGCCTCTCCACAAATAGTGCTGCTATTTGGGTAGCACTTCATGGATGGGTGGAACACTTCATTCTAGGGAATGTTAGAGTGGACCAAGTCTTATTCAGTACAGGTTTATAGAATGTAAATTCAGTTTTATTTGCTAAAAGTAGGTGGTCCAAACTATTTTAACTTTTCTGAATTAAAGTTATATAGGTTAATGTCATTCTGTGTTTTTTAATGGAAGGGTTATATATACTGCTTAAATTAGCTTCTGGAAGAAATGCAGGAGATAAAGCTAACGAATAAATGAATGAACCAACCAACCAACCAACCAACAAATTCTGAGGTAACAACTTTCTCAGTTAGATTTACTCTGTTAACTTGGACAAAATTATCACCTATCTTATCAACTTCAAAGATTAATTAAAAGAAAGGCAAATCCAGGAAGGCGGGGGAGGGAGGCAGGGAAACAAACCTGTTGGCAAAACTTTCTCATTATTTATATTTAGCATTTTACCCTTTTATGGAAGTCTGCTTTTAAGGGAAACCAAATTATTACTGCAACAATACATTCTTTTGTTATATAGCCTAAACATATGTCAATTATGTACGTGTAATGAGGGTGTTGTGTCTATATCCTACATCTACAAGGACAACTTTGAAATGTAAATGTTTCACATCCTGATCAACAAACACAAATATAAGAGAAAAACATGAAAGATTTACTTCTTTTCTAGGAAATTAGCTAAGCAGAAACTTAAGAACATTCCATACTTTTTAATAAAAAAATGCCCTACATTAATTAAGCTAATATTTACTTTGCAACTTTTAAATGTGTAGAAAAAATATAGTCAAATATCAGGTATTAAGTTGTTCCACTATACTATTTGGCAAAGATCAACCTTTATTATAATACGACTAAGCGTTTTAAGGTATGATGGCATGCAGATCATGCTAAGCTAAACAATAGAACAAAATTCTGTTAATTAAGGCTGAGTTTGAGTACAGAAAAGAAGCATAACAGCTGATGTGCTAAAAATTTTTTTTGCTAAAAAATGTCTCATACTGATGCCTATTCCTATGAATAAAAAAAACCTTTGTCATTTGATTAGTAGGTATCTACAGGTAATCCTCGACTTATGACAACATTTGAGCCCATAATTCTGTTACTAAGAATGACAATTGTTAGTTTTGCCCCATATTACAACCATTCTTGCCACAGTTGTTAAGTGAATCATTGCAGTTGTTAAGTTAGTAATACAGTGGTAGAGTGAATCTGGCTTCCCCATTGACTTTGCTTGTCAGCAGGTTGCAAAAGGTGATCACATGGTCCCAGGATTCTGAAACCATCCTAAATCTAAACCAGTTGCCAAGCATCGAATTTTGATCATATGACCAAGTCTGGAAATCACTCATAATTCACTTTTTCCAGTGCTGTTGTAACTCTGAATGGTCACTAAACAAATGGTTTTGTAAGTTGAGGCAAGAAATTATTCACTCATTATTTTATTTATGCTCCAGCAATATGACCCCATGCTAAATGGGGCATTTTATTTTCTTTCATAATTTTTACGCCCTGCCCTTCAAAAAAAGGCATTTGTTGAGTGAAATCAAGATTGGTTTTAAGCTCCTTCTATGCTGTTCTACCTCTGCTATTTCTCCTTTTGGATTAGTTTAGATAATGAAACCTCAAGGAAACGAGGTATTTTTTTATGGTGGTGACCCTTTTGGAGATAACTTCAGAAATATATCTCACATGAAGGATTACAGCAATAGTATTAAGCTACACCATATTGCACTGTATATTTAAAAAAACCATCCATTCACATGCTAATTTTGACAAAGTATCAGATGTAAATATGTCAATCTTTTCATAGTTCAGAAATGTCGCTGAAAGGACATTGACAAGCCTGGTGAATATCCAAAGAATAACCAATTATGATAAAGGAAGGCACTGGAATAAGAAAGGTATGAGAAAAAGTTGCCTAAATGTTTAGGCTGGGAAAGAGAAGACATGATAGTTGTCTTCAAAAATCTTTAGGACCATAATGTGAAACAAGCTTGTTTTACAGTTGCTGCAAAATATAGCTTAAGAAACAATGGATTTAAACTATAAGGAAGATGATTTTGGTTTAACATCAGGAAACATTTCACAACAATAAGAGCTTTTTAGTAATGGAACAGATAGTGGCCACAAATAAACGATGGGTAGGGGTTCTCTCAACTATTATAAAACCAAGCATTTAATGCCTGTCTTAGAAGAGTTCAAGAAACGCTGATTGATTTATTGTGCTTGGATCTCCTATATTTTGCATGCCGTGACCTTGTTGATGATCCAAACTCTGTCAAGGATCTTGGTGTACTCATCTCAAATGACCCAAGTGCTAGAGCCCACTGTAACTACATAGCCAAAAAGGCGTTAAGAGTTGTCAACCTAATATTATGTAGCTTTTTCTCTGGTAATATTACACTAATAACTAGAGCATACAAAACATTTGCTAGACTAATATTCGAATACAGCTCATTGGTCTGGAACCCACATTACGTATCTGATATTAACACAGTTGAGAAAGTCCAGAAATATTTCACAAGATTTCTCCACTCCTCTACTCATTGCAGAATATCTTATGCCACCAGACTTGAAATTCTAGATCTAGAAAATTAGAACTACACCACCTTCCATCCAATCTAAGTATAGTATATAAAATCATACATTGCAATGTCCTACCAGTCAATGAATACTTCAGCTTCAACCATAACAATACAAGAGCAAACAATAGATACAAACTGAAGGTTAACCGCACCAAACTTGATTGCAGGAAATACGACTTCAGCAACAGAGTGGTCAATGTCTGGAATACTCTACCTGACTCTGTGCTTTCTTCCCCAAACCCCAAAAACTTTAACCTTAGACTGTCTACTATTGACCTATTGTAGGGGGCGTGCATAAGCGCAGCAACCTGCCTACCGTCCCTGTCCTATTGTTTCTTTTATATATTTTTTATTTTTCTTATATGTATCCATGTATTCATAACTGTGTTTTTACTTATACCTATTATCTTGTAAGCACAAACAAACAAACAAATAAATAAAAAAGATAATGCAAGTCTTTAATCTATTTTTTCCTCCCCACTTTTATTTTGACCTCCCAGAGGCAGCAACTGTGAGAAAACATCCCAGCAGGACTATCAGAAATAGAAAGCAGCTAATAATAACTGCAATAATTTGTGAAGCCGAGACGCTTAACAAAGAATCACACAATACAGTAGGAAACAATTTTCTGCCCGCCAGCGGCCGCCTCCTATTGGCGGGTGGAGGACCCTTCCAAGCCCCGCCCCCTCCCGCGCCCTGAGCTCGTTCTCAAACCTACTTTCTTCTCCCGTCGCGCGAGAATTTCGTGCACGTCGGGGCGGGTGTGTTTGACGTCACCGCGCTCTCCTCGTCACCTGGAGCCCGCGGAAGGAAGCCGCCGCCGGTGACTGTGCAAAGATGGTGAGTGGCTCGTTGCGGGGTTGAAGGGAGGCGAAGAACGCGCGCGGGGCGGGCGAGCGAAAGGAGGGGACGCGAGGCGCGAGAAAGGGAGAAGATCCACCGCGACGAACCGAGGACCGTTGGCTCTCGCGTGCTGCGGAGCGATGACCGGACAGAACCGGGATTTTTTTTTTTTTTTTAAACCGGAGGTTACCTTAATGTTCAATGCTGGCTTATTCCTGGCTTTCCCGACGGGGTTCCGCGTTATCAGAAGCAGGCCTGGTGGTATTTGGGTTCCGAGAGTCTAGATGGGCACGTGAAGTCTTTCCCCAAATCTGGGATTCTGCATTTCTTAACCAGCCCGAGGGTTTTCTTGGCCAATTAACGGGAGCTCAAATTCTAGATTTCTGCAGGATGTCTATGGGTTTAATATCACGGTTTAATATTTTATTTATTTCAGCAGTTTGTTCAGGCTTAGCGGCGGCTAACAAAGATATTTTACTGCATCAGGTTTATAATCTTCAGTTTCGTTTTTTAATGTGCTGCTATACTGGTGCAACTGCAGCCGAATGCTTCCTAAAAAAAAGAGCTGTGTTACTTGTCAAGTTGGCTTTTTTTCTATACTGATCTTTTGTCAACGTGGGTTTGACAAAAAAATTTACATGGACTTACTTGGATTAAGACAGTAGATTTGATTACAGGGTTTATATTTAACTGCTTTCCATTTCAAATGCAGTCTGTAGCCTAGAAATATGATTGCATGCATGCTTGAAAAAGCACCAGTGATGGAGAAATGATAAGCTTCCAAAGATATTAAACTAAGATTGGGAAAACCCAAGTTCAAGTAGACACTCGTCTTTGGAAGTTCATGTGCTGACTTTTGGCCAGCCACTCTCTTTCAGCCCAGCTTACCTAACAGGTTATGGCTATGGGATAAAATTAGAAGAGGGAATGTTGTATACACTGCCTTTGGTGCTGGAGAAAAGGTTGGATATAAATTAGGAAATAACATGTGTGCAAATATTCTTCTGCCTTTGTTAATCCAGCTGAATCTGTCTAGTTTAGAAGAAAAAAAATCTATTTTCTGTTGACTGATACAGATGAACATTATTTGCAATGGCTGTAAGGAAGATACAAAAGCATATGTTGAAGATAGTGTTGTTAGTATTAGAGGAGATGTATTGAACTAATGTGGATATTTGTAATTTTATATGGATTTTGCTTAAAAATAGTTGCAAATAAACATATATCACAATTAAGAAATGCTATCTTTGCAAATATTAAAACTATGGTGACAAGATCCAACACATAAATACTTGCATTATTTATGGAGAAAAACAAATAGTGGTACAATCATCACACTGGGATGGACAACTAAACATAAGAATGAAATTACTTTTTTTTAAAAAAAAAAATGCAGTGGCTAGAAATTGGGGAAATGATTGATTTCTAAGCAACCATGTATAAAAAGACATTTCACTTATTAAATATGGTAGCATCACTCTTGATGTTAATGGAAATGCAGCTTTTGAACAATGGCAAACATTCACTTTGCCCTGGGACCAGACTCTTCTTGGTTACTTTTGCTGGATTGCTGTCGGCTGGCAAGATTTTTGCAGGATTTACTTTGCAGATATTTCACTTCCACAAGGAAGCAATAGCACATTAGTTTCAGTATCATTGTTGGAGGATTTCCTGCAGTTCAGCTTCTTATTTACTTAATCTATCCAGTGTCAAGCCTTGTGCTTTAATAAGTCAGCTCATTTTAAATTTATACACTCTAAATATTTGTAAAATAGAGGTGTGTTTTTTGGCAAAGGAAATGCCTGGAGATTCATGTCAGGATTATGCGGTGCAATAACCCATGCAGACTGGTTGAAAGAGACACAAATAAGGTACAGTTAAAATAAACAAGAAAAGCTGATGGTGGGAAAGGAAACAAGTGTTGCTAATACTTGTGGGAATCTTGGCTTCATAGTATAACATCAGCTTATATCTCAGGTCATAAATTAATCTGTTCTATATTTTCTGACTGTGATATGGTCTTAATATTATTTTGTTGTATTGCTGTTTATAGTGAACCATTCCTTAGAATTATGTACAACTTTATGGGAATATTTAATATATTGTGGGGTGGGGTGGGCTGGTGAATCCTGGCACTAAGTAGATAAAGTATGGGGGCGTCTTGTTCTACAATTTATGGTAAGTGTTTTCCCTCTTTATATATTCTGCTTGTTTTACAATGGATTTTTGTTGTAAATAAACCATTTTGCATATCCCTGAGTTTTCATCTCTCTCTCACACCCCCACACCCCCTCTCCGTCATTTATCAGATAGATATAGTGCTTGGCTGACAGAAGCACAAATATAGTTTTTGTCAAACTTTTTAGTAACTAACCCAAATGTATGGTTCCTTTGCTCCTTTCATCTTCCTGGAAGTGAGAATGTTTAGAGATACTTTAAACGTAGAAAGAATTGTTGCCATTGTGGCAAGTCCCTTGGTTGAACTCTCTTTGATTTTTACAATTTGATAGAAGTATGTTTACTCAGATTGCAGGAACAAAGGTTTAAATTGTACTGTTGTATGGAGTACTATGTTTGCTGTATTGAGTTGATCAAGTATGTGCATGGATAAAAATATAATAAACATGTTTCTGTATTGTTTTATAAAAAGATTTTAATAATTCCAATAAGTGTTGTCATATATTAATTGTTGTAGAAATTGTAGTCACAAGAACTGTTTTAAGAACAGCCTGCACACCAAAGTAATTGATTTAGCAAGTCAGAGAAGAGCTAGTCACGTGATGAATTGCACTGGGTGTAAATTTAGTAATTATCAAAGTATCTAATCTATACTATTAGGTCCAAACAATTTATACATTGTTTTAACTTCGTTTGCTACTTTGACAGGACAGAATAGATCAAAACTGTTAGAGCTTTAATGTTACAGCCCAGATTTACCTACAAGATAATATGCTTCTGTGTTAAATGTGTATTAAACAGGGGAAATGATTTTAAAATGCTCTAACTTTGAATGCTATGTCATCTATAGATAGTCCTCCATTTGTGACCAAAGCTGATCCCAAAATTTCTGGTATTAAGTGACACAGTTAAGAATTTTGCCTCATTTCATGACCTTTCTTGCCACTGTTGTTAAGGGAATCACTGCAGTTGTTTAGTTAGTAAATTGGTTGTTAAGTGAAATTGTCTTTCTCGTTGACTTTACTTGTTGGAAGTTTGCAAAAGGTGATCACATGACCCAGGACTTTGCAACAATCATAAGTATGAACCAGTTGCCAAGCATCCAAATTTTGATCACGTGACCCTGGGGATGCTACAAAAGTAGTAAGTGTGAAAAATGGTCATATCACTTTCTTCAGTGCCATTGTAACATTGAATGGTCGCTAAATGAAAGGTTGTAAGTCAAGGACTACTTGTATTTAACAAACAGTTATTGCAAAGTTTGAAGTCTCAGTTGCACAGAATTAATTGTATTGAGATGAACAATGTTGTCTGTCTACAATAATAGCTTTCTTCTGTTTAAGAATACCAGGGGGCTTGGATCTCAGTTGAAGGACAGCATTTCAGTTCCTGATTTTTCAGCTAGTGGAACATTTGAAAGTCATGATGTGATACACAGAGGGTAAGTACCAGATGTTTATAGAAATATCAGGGTGAATTTCCTGTGTAATCAGAGATCAATATGGGGGGGAAAAAGCTTCTGCCTGATCTATGTGTGCTTTTGTGAAAAATAGTGTGGAAATAGTTTATTTTCAAAAAATATAAACTAAAAAAAAAAAATCCAGTCAATTTTTAGACTAGTATCTGTTTGCAGGCTGATCTTTTCTTGTAATAAACTGAAACATAAATATATTTTGATGTGCCAGATCTTCAGCCATTTAGTATAACTATAACTTCAACTTCTTAATAGAAGTGTTCAAGATCAAGATAGCAATAAATAAATACTTAATATAGAGATTATTTCTACAGAATTATGGCCCTAAAACATTCTCCAGAATGCTTCCAGTTTGTTTAGGTAAAGAAACCAATTCATCCTCTTGAATCAGGTGAAAAGTTCCTTCTGTTAGTAGTAATGGATTGCTACCATTTCCAATCAGCTTGATGTCTGGGACAAAAGGGTCTGCACAAGTGTGTTCTGTCTCTTTGGAATTCTTTTACCTATTGCAGTAATAAATCAGCTTCAATAGTTTCGGTACATACCAGGCCTCAAGGCCTCAAGTAGGCTGAAAGCGTGTACCAGGAACAAAGAACATCAATCAACAACACGTCATCATGGGCTAATAACTGGACTGCAGGCGCTGATTTGTTACTTTGTACCTTTTAAACTGACCATGTAACTGTAATTGGATGCTGCTATGTGTCCACTAATACTTCTGCTCATGTAACATCATGATTGGATAGAATTCACCGCTTATGACGTATCACTATGTGTTTTTAATAAAAGAGCTTCCCTGAGCTCATGATCGGGGCAGCTCACCCAAGATAGAACCTGCCTGGAGTCTTTCTTGATGCATTCGACCACCCAGTGAGAAGCCTTCCTAATGCGGAGCAAAGCCGCACCTATGAGTAAACAAATCATTGTGGAAAATGTGGCTGCAAAGGGTTGCAATTTTAGTGGTAAAATAAGTGAATGACTAGGCTACTGAATATTTGGAGTCACACACTATGCTAAGATACATATTTATAAAATAACATTGGCTGGGTTCATATAGTACTGCAACTACATGTCACAAAAAACTCTGGAGTGGTCAGCCTTGTTTTAAGGCATATTATCTACTGTGGAAATATTCATGCCTCGTTTTTCTTTCACACTAGATACGCCATAATGCTAACTGAGAATAGCCTGGTAACTGATAGAGAGTGTCACTTAAGAGTAAGCTAAACAAGACTGAAATTTTAAATGTTATTAGTCATTGGGGTGGGTGGGGGGGGGGGGGGGGGTTCCTTTCCTTCAGGCATGTCCCTGTAGTTTTCTTGGCAAGGTTTTCAGAACTGGCTTGCCTTTGCCAGCTTCCTAGGGCTGAGAGAAAGTGAGTAGCCCAAAGTCAACCAGATGTCTTTGTGTCTAAGGCAGGAAAAGAACCTATAAGTCTCCTGGTTTCTAGCCTGATGCTTTAACCACTACACCAGGGGTGTCCACAAGTCTTAAAGTTGCCAAGGTTGGACACCCCTGCACTACACCAAACTAGTTGGTTAAGGGAAAAATGTCAGTTGCCAAGCACCCATATTTTGTTCAGATGACCATGGAGATGCTGCAATTATTGTAAGTGTGAGAACTGGTCACATGTCACTTTGTTTCAGTGCTGTTGTAACTTTGAACAGTCGCTCAACAAATGGTTTTAAGTCACGGATTACCTGTATTCAAGGGCTATTTATCTCACAATTGATATACTTCAAGGCTACTGGTAAATAATGCAATATTGGGTTTTCAATTCAATTGTGTAGAATGTGAAGAGTGTGTGTGTTTTATTTTTACAGTTATAATGTACACTGAAGATGACATTTAATTTTGTTGTATAATGTGCAGTGACAAAGTAAACTAAACTAAATTCCTGGAATAGAATTAAAATGTTTTCAGTAGTATATAAATGTGCTAAGGGGAAATATACTATATAATGAACATTACAGTGGTAAAAATGAAGAAAAAAAATAATTAAAATAATTAAGTGCTTTCTGTCAGATTTTCAGGCTTTTTAGAATTCAAGTCTGTATTTGGAATGGTTTATAAAGTTGATGAAGGAAACAAGACTTGACATGTATATTTGCCTTCATTCACAAGACTTTATTTTGACGTAAGATTTTATACGGTATCTCTGTTTACTTGTGTTTGCAGCTTTCCACATGTGAAGAGTGAACTTTTTCCCGTTCATCCTTTGGAACTTTCAGAGAAGAATGTAAGTGGAAGGGAATATTATAGATAGGTATAGATGTGGTTATAGATATTAAAAATAACTGTCCATAGTAAAATGTATCTCTTCATAGGCCTGAACTAAAATCAGAATTAACTGAGACATTCTAAACAACCAGTAATTTACAGAATAGATACTTTTGAATAATTAGTACAAGCTGCAAAAAGAGTACAGAACACTTTGGTAGGGTAACTTATGAGTAAATAGAAATGTTGAAAATTCCATTGGAACGTAAAATTCCTGTTGTCAATCATATCACGTTAGAGAAGACTAAATGGATAACAAGAGGAAGACAGCAGTGGCTAGGTTAATGGTTTTGAAGAGAAATTGAATGAAGAACAAATTTTTGCCCAGTGGGACCATGATCGATTGAGGAAGGAAGAAAATGAAGTAGGTTAGAGGAAAGTAGGAAGAGCTTGGCTTTATATAGCTCATATCTTGGATTGATTTACTATTTCAATTTTCCATTCCCAAAAAGAAAATAAATTCAATTGAGAGAGAGAATTTTTTTTTTTAAAGAATTCTATCCAACAGTAAAAAATGATACAAATTTAAGAGTAAGGAAAAGTGGTCAATAAATAAAAGAAAAATAAAGGTGCTGCTTTTAATCTTTTGCGGCAGTTACAAATTTGTCATGTTTCCTCCATCTTTAAAGTTGTATCATGATTACCTTCTTCTGATGTTTTATGCTTTCTAATAACCAAATCCATAAGTCACCGGTTCATTTTTTCCCCCACTTTCAGCAAATAGTCCACAAAGGGTTTCCTTCACTAATAAATGTACCGGTGGGGTTGGAAATCTCCACTGTAGAGGGTGGCCACTTCAGCGCTTTGACTCCCAGGGACAGGAGTTCGGCCAAGCTATCTGCAAAATCCTCTGTCTCTTGAGCGCTCACGGAGAGAAGCAACCGGAATCACTTGTGTCTCAAGAGCCCAGCCAAAGTTTCTCGCGCTGCTTCTGCGAGCGCAGAGAGAGACAGAGACAGAGAGAGAGAGAGAGAATTTTGCAGGTAGCTTGGCCGAACTGTCCTTGAGAGTCAAAGCACTGAAGCATGAGCAGCGTGAGAAACTTCGGCCAGACTCCTCAAGCGAAGACGGAATGCTGATGCAATTAACGTGGTGCTCCTGCTATACAAAGCCAAGCTCTTCCTACTTTCCTCTAACCTACTTCATTTTCTTCCTTCCTCAATCGATCATGGTCTCACTGGGCAAAAATTTGTTCTTCATTCAATTTCTCTTCAAAACCATTAACCTAGCCACTGCTGTCTTCCTCTTGTTATCCATTTAGTCTTCTCTAACGTGACATGATTGACAACAGGAATTTTACGTTCCAATGGAATTTTCAACATTTCTATTTACTCATAAATAACCCTACCAAAGTGTTCTGTACTCTTTTTGCAGCTTGTGGTGCTCCTGCACCTTCCAGCTGTATCCCTCGCCGCTTTGGCCTGCCTGTGCCGCTGCCCCCCTCTTGCCGCAACAGCACCATTACCTCGTCCTGGCCGACGAGGACTGCACTGCTTTTTGCATGTTGCACCACCTGCAAATTTGCACATTACACATGCTACTCCCTAAGGCGGAGATTTCCAACCTCACCAAGGGCCGGTCCCATATTCCAGAGCTGCAGTAGTCACAAGACTGGCCCTTTGGTCATCCCGGAACAGCTCATCCATGGCAGGCCAGTGCACAGGCCAGTCCTATGACTATGCAGCTCTGGAATATGGGACCGACTTTCCCACCAACATCAGCAAGCTACCGTCAGTCAAAATTCATATTAGTGATCCGCGGGATTTAAAATTATGAGTTTGGTGGTCCCTGAGATCCAAATGATTGGCGACTCCTGTTCTATGAAATAGTTACTTTTAATAGGATATTATTTCTACAGAAAAGAGAAATATGCAAATATATTAGTGATGGGTGATTTGTGTAGGATTTGGATCATTCATCTGTTCATTACATGTGGGTTACATGAATTCTGTTTGTGTAAAACAGCAAAGCTGTATGTTAATGGAAAGGAATGCTTGAGCTTATTCTGGACAAGAGATTTTCTTTTTTGTTCTGTGAGAAAAAAAATGAACAATAGCATTCTCTGTGTGCATGGTTCTTACTAAGTTATTCACATCTCACTTCCTGGAGTGTAAAATAATGTTTTTAAAATTTCTTTTGGTAGTTTTCCTTAACTCAAGATAAAATGAATTTTTCAACTCTGAGAAATATTCAAGGGCTACATGCGCCATTAAAGCTGCAAATGGAATTCAAAGCAGTGAAACAGGTATGCTTATTTTTTTAAAAAAATAAAAGCAGTTTGGCAGTTCGATTCTCACCAGATCAAGGTTGACTCAGCCTTCCATCCTTCTGAGGTTGGTAAAATGAGAACCCAGGTTGTTGGGGACCTTATGCTGACTCTGTAAACTGCTTAGAGAGGGCGGTAAAGCACTGGGAAGTGGTATAGAAGTCTTAAGTGCTATTGTTACTTACAATGGTTTTTGCTATTGTGCCTCTTCGGCTAGCGTCTAGCAAAAACACCCATTGGAATACATAGATTAGCTTAATGATTGTATTGTTCACTTAACAACCACCACAAAAAAAATCAAATCGGATCGAATAATGTGGGTGCCATCATGATTTACAATGGAAATTCTGGTTCTATTATGTAAGTCAAGGACCTATAAGTTTGACCTGGCCCAAGATGATTTATACTTGTGGGAGTGTATATTTGAGCATCCATAGTATAAATTAGATTTAGTTGGACTTGATATCTCATTTCTACATTCTTTTAATTTACTATTTCTGTGTCCTCTGAGTTTTGCCTAACTTTGCTTTATCCAAAAGGAAATGGGTAGCTACATAATGTGTTTTGTCAGGATTATTAATTGAATATAAATTAGTGCTCTAGATTTATTTGGAATCTCACCATCTCCACTGAGATTTACTTTTTGATAAGCTTCACTCACCCTTTGCAAAGCCATTATTTCAAATTCTTCAGAGAATTCTACTAGGCATTATGTGTTGTGGTATTACCCCTTCACAAAACTTGTCATTTCAATTTTTGATATTAAATACAATGTAAAATATGTTAATTAACACTGATATCTTTATTGCCTGAAAAGTTGTGCCCCTCCCAAGTAATTTATTTTTCAAATGGAAAATTAAGTATGTAAACAAAAACCAGGATAGAAATATTATTTTGAAGAACAATTATTTCTTCTTGCTGACATCTCAGAAGAAGAGGTGAGATATTGTTGAACTGCAGTATTCCTGTATGGCGGCAAAAGTAATGGTAAAGCTCATATTTTTAAAATATATTTTTTCAATATATCGAATGCTACATCTGCATCCTTCTTCAAACATTACATGGGTGGAATATAAAAAGTGCAGCCTGAGTGAGCCACTTGATATTGATTTTGTTTGTTCCTTTAATACGGCATATCTCATTATTAATAAATATGGATGACTAACTTGTAAAATCTTTTGTAGATCCAGCGCCTGCCTTTCCTTCACAGCTCTAATCTGGCACTGGATGTCTTAAAAGGCAATGATGATTGCATTGGTTTTGAAGACATTCTTGGCGGTAAGGATCTTTCTGAAGTTTGGACAAGTTTTAAGCTCTAGGGAGACATGGGTCATATTTCCATGATGGCATATTTATATGCGTAGCCGTATATTGCTGAGGGCTAGTAATAGAAACAACCTAAGCTCATATTTATTGTCCCCTTCCCTTGGGCTCCTTAAACATTTTAATAGGCCTCTACAGATAGTCCTCGACTTACGACCACAATTGAGCCCAACATTTCTGTTGTTCAGTAAGAGTTTTGTGCCATTTTACGACCTTTCTTGCCACAGCTGTTAAGTGAATTACTGCCGTTGGTAAGTTAGTAGCCCGGTTGTTAAGTGAATCTGGCTTCTCCATTGATTTTGCTTGTCAGAAGGTTGCAAAAGGTGATCACATCACCCTGGGACACAGCAACGGTGTGATGATTCGTGTGATGGGGGGGATGTTGGTCACTAAGTGGGAAGAACAATTATGTCACTTTTTTCAGTGCTGTTGTAGCTTTGGTCAGTAAAAGAACTGTTGTAAGTCAAGTTTACTATGTTATAGTTTACTATCAGGAAATGCTGGATCAGAATAAGTCTTCAGTCCAATCCAGTGGAATTCCTTTTCATATGTGAAAATGTCCATTTAGACATTTTGTAGAGTCTGCAGGGAAGAGGGGACATATTTATGTGTAGGATGTCTGGACCTGAGTAAACACTGTAAGAAATCACCTCTCAGATAAGAAACAAATACTAGATTTTATTCAGGCCACTCTTCACCTGAATAAATTAAATTTGCTCTATATAGGTTAAATGAAGAAACAAAGTATAATGCATAAGTGACATGCTTTTAGCTGCACATGTCTTCAATTGTCCTTAATTAACATTTTACTCAATCTGTTTTCCAGATCCTGCACAAAGTGAACGAATGGCAGAACCTCATATGATGGTTGAACATAAACTTGGTTTATTATAATACTTACATATTACAGCTTTTTCTGTTCATCAGAACATTCCTATCCTGTGTCTGTGAGGGTTGAAATAAACTATATTAAATGAAATATTTGTTTTGATAGGCAGTTTCTCACCAACTCAGTGAAAGAAGCACAATAAACATTACAAACACCCTGTTCTGTGTTTACTGCCTAATATCTTATGAATTGGGTTTTTAAAAAAGGATATATCCAACATTATAGTGCTCTTATTTATAGTTAGGAGGCCATACATAAAAATATATTCAGAAACAGGAAAATATGAAACTGTTAGGATCGGAAAATCTTTGCAAAACAACTTTTTGCCATTTTAAAGCAAGAGATTTGCTGTTAATTTTCTTTGCTCCTGATGGTTGGTGTCTTTTAAACAATAAATAAAATTTTCAATAAGCATTGGGACTTTTTCTGAGTGTTTAATAGCATCTTCAAATATGTTCACCCCAAGCAGGACTTGTTTTTGTTAGGAGGCTATTGAGTTGCAGATGATGATGATAGCCTATTTGTCGCTAAAGCCATTTTAAGACAGAATCTGAGTCTGGTAATAACCAGTCATAAGAGCAGGTACTAACCTCTAATACGTTCTTTTGTCTCCCTGAAATAATACCTCCCTATTGAGCCTCATTTCCTTGGCAGGCACTCATTTTCACGATAACCTTTTTTTGATAAGTTGGAGTTAAAGTTGGTTTATAGTTCCCTTTTTTGTCAGGACACTTCTGATATTTGATAGCTATATTGGCTGTTAGCCAGTTATTAATCTTCAATTATTTGACGGCCTTCACCCACTTCAAAGACTCAGGCATATGTCTCTTCTTTCTTCTTGGTATGGGGAATACAGGTTCCCATCTAAAAACTGAATTAGCTAGGTAGTGAGATGACAGGACTTCTGGCTCTATTGGGAGGGTGGAGGAGAGAAATAAAACTTAAATAGGTTTTGGAGTCTTCGTGGCCTGTCAGCATCATCCTAATTTTAAGTAACTACATCTGTGTTCTTTAAATTCATGGTTATGACACCAGGAATAATATCTGTTGGCTTTGTTCCCAAGTTTCAAGCGTTCTATTTACATTCATGTTTCTTAAACATTTAAACTTCTAGCTTCAATAAATATAAAGAATCGCATACTAAAAATTACCATTGTAATTTGTTTTCCACTATCTATTTACAACCTATCCCTTATTTTTATTGTGTTGGATACATTAGAGAGAAACTAGCCTAAAGTCATCCAGTGAATTTCCATAACTAAGGCTGGATTTCAGCTTGGGTTTCTTTATTCCAGGCATGGAGCACACTGACTGTTAACAAGCATTTTGGGGCTACTTGTAAATTAAGAAAGGACAGTGAGCATTTAAATCAGGGGCCAACCTTTTAGACCACAGGGACCACCAAACTCATAATTTAAAATCTGGTGGACCACTAATATGAATTTTGACTGACGGTGGCTTGCTGATGTTTTCCCAGGGTCTCTGCAGAAAGCAGCAGAGACCCTGGGAAAATCCTCAAAAAAGTCTGCAGGAAAATTCCCCACCCTGTTTTCCTACTTATCGATCATTATTTGGGATCGCAAGATACTGTCTCCAGCTCCGTTCTCGGAGAGAGAGAGAGAGACTTTTGGCTTCATGCAAGGAAAGCGGCAGAAATCTTTCTCTCCCCCAAACACTGCCAGAAATGAGTTTTTGTGAGACCTGTCGCACTGGCACAACCTCTTGGAGCAGGATGCCTTGCAGGGTCCCAAAGACTCATTTCTGGCAGAGTTTGGGGGAGAGAAAGAAAGACTTGCTGCTTTCCTTGCGGGAAAGAAGCCCGGTGGCCAGACCAGGTGCGTGGGGCGAGTGGGGCCAGTTCCCCCCTCTCCCCTCACTACCTTGTATTCACAATGCAAGCCTTGTGTTCCCGCAGGCCATGTGAGCAGCGCAGCCTTGTTTCCCATGCAGCCTGGATTAATTGCTTTGGGGGGTGCTTTGGGGGTGACATTTCTCTGCAGACCACCAAAATTTTCTCGCAGACCACCAGTGGTCCAGGCCCATTAGTTGGCAACCACTAATTTAAATGATGGGGATATGTGCACAACCTGTTGCCTATTCCCTAAAGCCACCAATGGCTACGTGAAATATTCTCAATTATGAACAAACACACATCGGACATTCAGGAATCTACTGGAAACAAAAAAACAGCTGAATTTAATTTGCCAGGCTGCATTGCTCCCAGCATCTAGTTCTGCATATGGAATAAAAGAGCCTCAACATTCTGAGCACTTTTGGTTCCATGCATAAAATCCATCTGTAGATAGATCATGTATCTGACTTCCACAGTTTAAATCTTGGTGCTGTTCATGTGACAAACCTCCAAGATGCGGCAGCAGAACACTGCAATATAATATTAGAACAAAATACATGCAGGGAGTTAAAAGTTGCAAGAAATTCACTAAGCCATCAGCAGTACTTTTCATATAGGCACTGAATGGGATTCCTTGAACTGCAGACCAAAGTGCTAGGAATTGCTTTTATCTCATTGCCTTGAATGCTCT